GTACTATTCGATTGTATAAATTGGCTGTGTCATTTCGAACCTTTCCTCACAATCTTGCTTCCGATCAATTGTAGTGATTAAACATGCAACTCTTTCATACCAGACAAAATTGGCATATTCGACATTACCAATTCTGGAAACGCTTACAACAAATATTCTCAGATCGGATCCTGCAAATGTGGCTAAATATCCTTAAATGTGTAGAAAATAGCAGCATTTGCACTTCAGTTGTATTCCTGAACGTAAAAGATGATGCGATTAAAAATAAACACACTTGCGGTAGTGGGACCACTCGGATTATAGAAGAGCAATTCCTCGCTAAACGTGCGAAATTCTGACTGATTACAAGCATCATCTGTGGGTTAGAAAACATCAATCAAATGTAAAGGACATGAGATATGCTTGTGAACAAATAACAAGTGGAGCTGACCGAATTTGTAAAGGATGTCAAATGATGTATGTCAGATTCTTTGGAAAAAAGACGTACCCGTGATATTTCTTTATATCTTGAATGTCAAGTTTTGTTCTGTATAAAATTGACCTTTTCCAAATTGTGAAAGTGAAAACGACTTCACTTGTACGAAAAATACTTAACTAGCATGACTCCTTAGCTTATTTTTTCAATGATCGTAAGAATTAAATTGATAATTTTATTATATGTTGTAGTATAATAGGCGATACTAAAACCAAATAAATAAAACCACTATCTATTGCGCATATTTGAATATACTTCCAGTAAGGCAATTTTTTCACCCTTCTGTAGCCACAGGAAATCAATAATTGGCTGGAAGAATGCCTTCCGGTGTAAATTAATAGCACCTCTTGTTTCTAAACAATATTTATGGCAAAGTCACATCCCCTAGTCTAAAACAAAACGGCCTATATATTTGACTAGATGTAAGTCTTTTATTTGCCACATCTCCTCTGATACTGCAACTACACTGCTATCGGTTACATAATAAATTAAGCTGATACTCCTCTCTCTGGCAAAAGCCCAACATTTGATTACTGGTTATACCTACGGCAATTAAACATTGTAGAAAAGTGGATAAAAAGAGGAGGATTTAAGAAGTTTCTACTCACTTTTATTCACACGCCAGGTGTAACCCCAGGATTCTCTGTCAATGTTACACTTCTCCTTTCTATTCTTGATTTTAGACACTTTGCCATGTTTATTTAAGAGGTAGTCATATGAAACAGTGATATTTACTGTTACATCAATAATGCAAATGCGGAAAAAACCTCCTCATATAATGTAGATATCAATCGCTCTTGTAATCAAGCAGTTAATCCAGTAGTTCAGGCAAGGTTAGGAAAATTATCAGTTTATACAATCGTTTAGTACTTACGGCACTTTTAGGGAAGCGAAAAATCATAAAAGGTGATGAGCCCTCTGGCGTTTCAACAACACGAGACTCCCACGGAAGTGTAGCTGCTTCTATATAAAGAGGTAAATAAGTATTTAGATATCTTTTTATGCGTCTATATACAAATGCTCAGATCGTTTTGTAAGCAAAGTCAGTGGCAGTTCGTCAACACACTATCACTTTTAGGCGCCTTCTATTAGTATTTTCAGAAATACCTAGTCACTACATCTACAATGAGTGCATCATTGCTGATCTCATTGTCGGGTGAGATTTGGGCTAAATTTATGTAATCATAGGACGTCGAGGCATCATCCGTGGTGGTGAGCTGTAGCGATTTGGTTTGTGCAGTTTTCGCCGTCTTATAAAAGCTTAGTCATGCATGGCAAATTGTATAAATCAAATTCATGCCCACCTGAATGCACGGCGCATTAATAAAAAAATTCACAGTGTAACCTTAAAAGCTACGTCGCTAGAATCACCAATTTTATGGGGTCATAGCATTAGGTGGCATGGCTGATGAGAAGTACAGTCAAAACCAAAGGATAGGTGCGCATCTCAGCAAAGCACAACAGCAAGAAGCGCTGCAAGAGTTCTCACCTTGTCATCCGAATATGACTGGCAAAGAGCTTTGTGTGCTTTTATATAATCATAGACTTGTTTTTAAGGGCGTGATTAGTGGATTTGGTGATTTAATTTGAAGGAGTAAGTAAAAATAGGAAAATTCCACTATCACATTCACATCTGCTTTAATTATCCCAGAAATGCTTGACTACAAGTTTAGCACAT